ACAAAACTTAAAGTATATATTACGTGAGACTTTACTTCAATTACCGAATCAAGACATTATTAGCATTTCTAAGCCAAGTTAATCAACCAAAAATGTTATAACCATTCGCAAATCGCAATCCACCGCAACCTGCGGAAATCTCGTGAATTTGGGTGCACATTGTGAGGTTAATTATTGCTGTAAAGCATAATTAAGACACTGTGTTTTCAGATAATGACAAAAATCCAATGTAAGAATTAGTAAGTTTTATTTATTTATTTAAAGGCTGTACAATATAAAACTGCACAGTGAGTGCACACCTTCGAGGTGGAATCCGAGGGGCACTCCAGATGGCTCTTGAGCTAGCCCTAATTCTTCCACCCCTATCACAAAGCCAAAAGCCAATCATATCTTTAGTTGAGTCATTCAACATTTTCTTAGTCAATTTTGCTTGGAATGGCTGCTTAAAAAAGGGAAAATCATACGGATGGTCCCTAACCTTTTAAGTTTGGTTCAAATATGATCTCGAGCTAAAGTTTCCTTTGATAAGTTGAAATTAAGAAGTAAATGGGATCAAACTCATTGCATCTCTAGCCTTTTTTACGTAATTAATTAAATAAATGAATAATCATTGATTCTAATATTGATAAATATGAAATTAATAGCACATGTGGCACACATATATATAATGACATAACTAACTATTTTGAGGAGGGATCCATTTATATTTAAGTTTTATATATTTTACTTATACAAAATTTTAATTATTCATTTTTTAACTTTTAATGATTGAAATTTGTTATGACTTTTTAGATAAAAAATAATTATTTTAAATAAATATGAATAAGTGCCTCGTGTGAAAATGAGAAGGGTTTTTTCAACTTACACCTGTTTCATGTACAAGAGGTTATGTATCATGAATCGTCTTCTCTTATAAGAACGAGCAACCTAATGTCTCTAGTAAAGTCTAAGAGTAAACCTTCTCAAACAAAGCCACAAGAGTTAGATGGTGGTGATGCCTCTAGATGACAACTATACAACCACAAAAAGAGAGATGGATGAGTGAGTTGCATTGTAACTAGAGTAGTTTAAATAGAAAATATAAAGATCAACTTGTACAATAAAATAAGCATATCAATATATAATGCATTGTAGAGTAGAAAAAATACGTAATAGATATGCTTTCTTATGTTCTAAATATGCAACTATTATATCTTTTTAACATTAATTAGTATTAAAAAATATAAAATCTATTATTAATTTCATCATCAGTGTTACACAAACCATTTAATTGATTAGTTGCTTAAATAAAAATTAATTTTTATTTTTTCAACACTAATTAATATAAAAAAAAATACAATGATTGTATCTTTAGAAAAACTCTTATGAATTAGTAAAAGATTAAGGACCTAGTTTAATAATACTTTAAAGGTCGTCGGTTACGGATGCAATTTTGTTGTTTATGTGCCGTCCAATCACCTTCCTAGTTGCATTAATATATATCAACGGCTATTTTTCTCCTATCTCTATTATGATCCCCTGTATATTCGACACGTGCACCAATATGCGTTTTTATTTTAGCGCAATTTTCACCTGCCCATTATCAGGTCAACGGAATTTTTGGACTATAAAGGTTTCAGCCCATTACTTTACTGACCAAAAACCCAACGCCACACGCCATTCTCTCTCGTGATACCACTGAATCATGTCAGATCCCGTCGACTCTTATCGCCTTCCGGCGGGATATTCTGGCGCCGGCCCTTCTTTCCAGAAAGAGCCAATTAGCCAGATGGACGCTCGACTTCCGCTCCTGAACCTCGCCGCGGTCCGAACGAGAATGGACTCCCTTCAGAGCTTCCTGTCGCAATCAGTCAACAGCAATACACTGTTACCCAAGGATCAGATGGATATGGTTTCCTATGAGATTTCCTCCGCCATCCAGCAGATCATCGTCAACGGCGCCGCCCTCCTCTCTTGCGCACAAAAACAGTCCGAGCTGCCTGGTTTGGCGATGAGCTCCGCTGCCACTTTGGTGTCGGGATCGGATTTGAAGTTAACAAAGAAGGAAATTAATAACGATTATGACGATGAAGGCAACCTCGACGAGAACGAGGAGGATTGCGAGATAGTGGAGCTAGATGCGGTGGAGCTGTTGGCGGAGCACATCCATTTTTGCGAGATTTGTGGGAAGGGATTCAAAAGAGATGCGAATCTCAGGATGCACATGAGGGCGCACGGGAATCAGTACAAGACGCCTGAAGCCCTTTCGAAGAAGGGCGGAAACAAATTGGAGCAATCCTCTGCGTTGTCCGGCCGGAAAACGCGGTTCTCGTGCCCATACGAGGGTTGCAATAGGAACAAGAAGCACAAGAGGTTTAGGCCTCTGAAGTCTGTGATTTGTGTTAGGAATCATTTCAAGAGGAGCCATTGTCCCAAGATGTACTCCTGCAATCGTTGCCACAAGAAGAGCTTCTCGGTGTTGGCGGATTTGAAGAGTCATTTGAAGAATTGTGGTGGGGAGGAGAAGAAATGGAAGTGTAGCTGTGGGAATAGCTTCTCGAGGAAGGATAAGCTTTTCGGGCACATGGCGTTGTTTGAAGGGCATATGCCTGCTGTAGCAGCTGAAGATGATGACGAAAAGTTGAAAGGGGTGGCACCAATGGAGGAGGATGAGGAAAAGGAACAGGAGTTGGGAGAGGACTCTTTGGAGGATGGGTTTTTTGATGGATTGCTTAATGGTTTTAACTCAGTTGAGAACTTCTGTTTTCAGGACATGTTCAGTTCTTATAATGGGTTGTGACTTGTGGATGGATTATATGGATGATAAGCAGAGCAGGTATATTTCCTGCTTGATGTTGGTGTATTTGTTGTTGGCTATATCTGTATTCTTTAGAGTTAATTTCACTAATAATTTCTGTTTTTGTAATATATAATCAGATTGGAGTAACGGTTTTAATTTCCATTAATAAAATTTGCATTATGTTTTTCATTTGATGAGTTAAAATTCATTTCATCATCGATAAATCTGAAGCATGAGGGTTTTAATTTGATGCTTTCACTTGTGGATCATATTGATATTCTTGAGATTGAATCCGATCTTTAGATAAAGGAATGAGATTGTAATGGTTGCTATACATGCCTAATTACTACCTCAAGAAAGATGAAGTTTGGATTGAGTTTATGTACTTCAAATTATTAGGGGATGACCTATCACTCGAACTATAGCGTTTTAGCTAAATGTTTTGGTAGAATAATTAGCAGGCTTCCAAGTTTAGTTTCATCACCAATGTAAAGAGGTAGCCTCAAGAGTTCCAGTTTGCTGATTGGAAAGCCTTTTTGGAACTAGCATCATAGAAATCTAGGCTTTCTAAATTCTACATGTAGTTTCTGATTTCCCATTTAAGCTTCCTTGCTCTTGCCTGATGGTTAAATAGTTTAAACGCATTAAATTAAGTTTCTGGCCAGTTGGAGACTCCTAAGTTGTTTGACAATGCTCTTCACCTTGGGATGAGTTGCAGTAGCCATTGCAACAACACTCGTGCCCCTGCTCCAGCAGGTTGCATGGTCTGAAACCATCATTTGCTTATTCTTACTACATAATAGAAGTATGTTTTATTTATGTGGTTTCTTCCAAGTCTTGATATTTAAACTTGGAGTTCATAAATCCAATGAACTTGCAAATTATCCACATATTATAAGGTCAACACTCCTCCCCAATCATTCATGCAGCTTTACCATTAGTTTACTCTGGAGTTTAAATTATATAGACGAGGGGGAAATAAGGGTGCCACTGCCCATTCAGGCATTCACAAACCGGTTCCTTCTGACCAATTTACTTCTGTGCTATGGTCCGTAAAGAAGAAAATTTTCTGTCAGCCATTCTTAGTCTGGATTCGCCTCAGTACATTTCAACTGAAAACTTGACTGTAAAATGGTTGTCCGATTTCGGGCCCACCGTTGATATAGCGGTTTGGAAGTATGTTTAGTAGTTTTATTCAAATCACTGATAATAGATATTTAGTAACTTTATTTATTTTGAAACAGTTACAAATTAAGTGCTTAATAAAATTTTTGATTTAGCAGTTTAAGATTAGTAGATAGCGATTAAAATTTAAATTATTAGCGAATTGAAAAAATTACCTAATGTAACATTTTTGTATTAAACTATTAACAGATTGTAATTTTTTAATTTTATTAGTAAATTTATCTTTTTTTAATTTTAAAATTTTTGGTTGCGATTTTTATTAGTACTTATCTAATTAGTTTTAATTTTATTTTTTTGTCTTTA